TAAAGAGAAAGATTTTGACTTTGACTTGACTTCATCTTTTGGAATGAGTCAAATTCCAGCAGCTTAAGATAGCAAAAACAGAAAAAGACAGCAAAAGTGGGTACAAAATATAACAGAAACTCTACATGGATCTTAACTTATCAAAAAAAAAAAAATAAAACAAGATTAAAACTCCTAACAAAATATAGAAGTGAAAGTAACCAGTGACATTAAATTAGATCAGATTTTTATTGTACTGTGGGTACAGACAGATCCATCACCTCACCCCGAGGGCTGTTGTCATTTTTATCATTATTAACCATAAACATTAATTTAACCAGAAAAATCACCAAGAAGATTAATAATCTCTGTTCAAAACAGACATGGCAAGCTAGAAATAAAAAAATAAAACAGTCACAAAACATTATATGTAAAACTTTATACTATAGATACCAGAATATTAAAAAAAAGTGAACACAATTTGTTAAGTGTGTCATGAGACAGAATTAGTAAAATGACAGTTTAAAAAGGTAATCTCTAAAAAAACACCAGTCTAGCTTTAAACTCCCTCACAGATATCAAGCTGCAAGGCATTACAATGCTACCCATGTCGTGGGGTTTAGGTAACGAGAAAACCTTTTTTCCAAGTTCAATTAACACAAAGAGTATTGGTCGATGCTCTTTTGTGTTATCATTTCACACAAGGAGATTTGAAAAGGACCAAGAATTACCTTGAATATAAAAATGTAGGGATAATGGCGCCCGTTGAAGGCCATTCTATCCCAGAATAAAACTTTCCATGATGGGTTACGATGGGTACCAACTCATAAGATGATGCAACTCAATAAATGACTATGTCATCAGTATAAAATACAGAATTGCACCACATTTTGACACAGTTTATTTATACAGTAAATAAAAGAGGACCTAAAATAGACCCTCGGGGGTGCACCCTTTGAACTGACATAAACTCATCTGAGAGCCATGCGACTATTTGCTCTGAGAGTCTGAAACTTAAAAGCCTTCACCTTAAAGTGTTACAGCCAACCGTACTGAAAGCTTTAGACAAGTCTATAAAAAAAGATTCAACATTCTGCTTCTTATCAAGTGTGGCTAAAAGATCATTTACATATTTTAAAGGAGCTGTAATAAGTACTCTATTTATAAAGCACTTAAAAATGGCCAGAGCTTAGAGAAAGTGCTAAACAAAGCTGCAAAACTATAAACATTACATTAAAAGGTAATGATACAAAAAATGATAAAAACCAATTTAGATCCCCAAAAAAAAGGTAAAATAAAGTCTCATGTTAATAAGGAATGGAAATAGGTTTTAAGCTGAGTTTTAATAGTAGTAAAGTAGTAGTAAAGTGAAAACTGTCTCTGATGTGCCGCCGTAGAGAAGACCCGACCCTCTGAGTGGAACATGGGACCTGAAAGAGCCGCTGTTCAGCCAACATGAGGGACTGGAGTGGGGATGAAGAGGCTCAGAGAGGTACACCGAGGCATGGTTACTCAAACACTTAAAACAAAAATAAGAATCCTAAAATGAACTGTACAATGCATCAGCAGAAATTAGAGTCTGGGGGAAAACACGGGTGCTGAGTTCTTTTTTGGATCACGGTTAAAAGATGAGAGAAAGCTGCAGACCAGAGAACAAAGACTGAATCACTCCAAAAGCAATCTAAGTGAGAAGAGACAAAAACACAAATCACCATTTCAGAATGTTTCCCAGACATAAATGATTTAAGTTTCAGAAACACCAAAGAATTAGGGGCATTTTAAAATGTCTTCTTTTGCATGAACAAATGGCATCTTGAGTAAAGTCCGGCCTAAATCTCACTAATCTGAATAGATTGAAAACATATCAATACTTTGGTTTGTCATACATTGAAAAAGAGAGCTTGGAGTTTAGTTAAAAGGCTTTGAGCAGTTAGTATCAGTGAAGAGGAAGCTTTTCATTATTAACTGGTGCATTTGTGGAAGGCCCGTCTCAAATAACCTGAAATATTCCTTTACTGTTGTTGTTCTTTACTAAATTAACAATAATAATAATTTACTGACAACAGTTTAGTCAATACTTCATGGTCACTTAATCAAGTATGTCTGTTCCAATAACAAAAAGCAAACCAGTCACTCACTTTTCAGCGTTTCGGTTTCAGTTTGATGAAAATGGCTAAGGTTAAAATCGAGCATGAAGGAAGTGGATTTAAGTGACCGTGTTTGTGACATGGCTGCTGGTTCTAGATTACGGAAATTACTACTTCATCATCTGCTGATCTGGTGGTGATTCACTAAACACACTTCTTTAAGGGTTACATGGGATACCCAAAAATTCTGAATATATCGACTGAGCAGTAAATTAAATTTGTTAAAGCTAAGGGGAGAGTGGATAGACCAGTTTAAAATGTAATAGGGGCTCAGATAAATTAAAACCAAGGCATCTCAAACTAGTTTCTTGAACATGACAATGATTTTACCATTCTCTAACGTTCTCCAGTGTCGCTCTTTGTTGAAGTGAACCAGCGGCTGGACCTGTGAAGGATCAAAGCCAGCTTAGGGATGTTTCCCATAATAACACAACAACAAGAATCTGACCAACTAAAACCTAACATTTTGGCATTCAAGAGAACATGTTGGGCTAAACATAATAGGACTGAGCATAAAGCTTCTGCTTTGTTTGATCACTAAATATCTAATGCGAAATGCAAACTGTTTCACAACTTCATCCTGTAGCTTAATTTTGCGACTTAAACAAAAAATGCTGAGGAAAAAGCTGAACTCAGGGAAAAAAACAAAACAACTGGTGATTGATGAGAATGTCCCATACTCAGAAGTTTCAGTTCCCTTTGAATTACGGTAAATATCTAAAAAAAAAAAAAAAAAACTCTGCTTAACGATGTTTAGCCTCATATTGTATGACTGTCTGCATTTGATTTTAGTGCAAATTTGCTCTAATATCTAATATCTAAAATTGCCCTAATATTTTCAAGTGTATTTTAATACATTGTTTTACTCATTTTTATTTCCTTTTCCAAATGATATGAGATCCATGACTTCCTTCAAACAGAACTGTAAATTTTGGCTGTTATACTGTCTGTATTTTCAGTTTTTACTTTTTGTCTTACCTGCAGTTTTTGCATAGTTACAATTGGTCTTCATTTACAACATTAATAAAATGTTAATTACACTCATATTAGCCAGAACCTCCTTCAATCAGCATTGCTGTTTTTCTGAGTGATCTCTGTTGCATCTGGTTCACTTTTGATTTCTGCCTCCTCAGATGACGAGAATAAAACGGAGCTGCGTAAGTGCAAAAAGAAACAGACAACAGACCTGTTCAGTTGCCTTTCTGTGTATTTACATTTTTTATATTGTTTTACTTGTTTGCAAAAGTTACACAAATGTGTTTCTTTTCACACTTTGTAACTTTAAAGCTATAACCACAGTGTATTCTATGTTATAGACAGAAAGTAGTGCCTAATTTGTTTAGTAGACGGAAAATGTTATATGCATTTTCTCTCTTTTGTAGCTAATAACAATCTCAAAATTCCCCTATGTGTTTCTATTTAGCCTCTTTTGCTCTGATAACTCTTAGAAGATTTTTTGTGATCGATCAAAATGCACTAGTCTAGTAAATTTAGTACACCAGATTGTAAGCTATTCTTATAAACACCAATGCTCTGTGAAGGTGTCATTGGTTGGTGAGAGAACACTGGTGATGAAACAGTTTCATGAAGACTAGTAAAAACAGCAGACATGTCAGGGAGAAAGCTGCAAAAACATTTGAATTACAACTAGGTAATAAAACAACAACTCAATATTTGAAGCCTTGTATCGCATCACTCCTGTAGGGATCATATGTAAATCTGTTGTTTCAGCCTCCCAAGATGAATGCACCTGAAGGGAAATGAAGAGTATCACACTACTGCCAGACATGGCCGACAAACAACAACATGAAACTATCATTATTTGGGATTCTTTTCTCTGCCAGGACAGTAAAGCAAAACTCAGTACATTTCTGTGTTCCTCTGGCCTAGTCAAAGTCCAAACATAAATACCATTCTTAGACTGTGAAAAAAATTAAATTGATTTTCACAGTTGCATTCCATCCAATGTGAATGAACTTGAGGAGAAATTGCATAAAATCTGTCAGTAAAATCTGTAATACTCCCTGCATGAATTATAATAAAGCTATTTATATGCATACATCAAGCGGAACACTATGGCGATAGCCGCACTGCTTCATTTGTGAAAGTAAAATCTGTTGGGCTCTTTCTGGCATCAAGACAATTATTCTTATTGCCACATTGCCAGACAGGACACTGTAAAAAAAAAAAAAAAAAAAAAAAAAACCCATCCTACAGACTGCCACTCTGGGTCTCTGAGCAAGACCCTTAACCCCACATTGCTCCCAAAGGGGATGGGTTAAATGCAGAGGTAAATTTCCCCAATGTGGGATCAATGAAGTTCAATTATTATTATTTATTAATTTCAATTCAATTCAATTCCATTTATCTATATAGCGCCAATTTACAACACAAATCATCTCAAGGCACTTTACAGTTCACCAGATCATACAGTTATTGATCATTGATTCAAAGTTGTCTATCCAAGGAAAACCAGTTGATTGCATTGATTCATTGACTCAAATGCAATCCCTCATACTAAGCATGCTTGTAGCGACAGTAGAGAGGAAAAACTCCCTTTTAACAGGAAGAAACCTCCCGCAGAACCAGGCTCAGTGTGAGCGGCCATCTGCTTAGGCCAGACAGATATTATAATTATTGAAAAAAGGAAACAACAATATAGCAACAAATAAATAAATAAATTACTGCATAGTAATATGCCACTTTGTTTTTGGTTCGTAAAACTCCAAAAAATGTCAAACAAACAGAGAAGCGTGAAGTGCTCCTTGTGTGGCACAGCGCAGGATAGCGGTGTCAGAAGCCTTTATTTTGAAAGCCCGAGCCGGATGTTGCGTGTGTGTTGTTCTAACTGCTGGTGCTTTATAGGTCTGAGGAGCGACAGAGCCCGGTGTTAAGCGGCAGCTGCAGCCCACTGCACCGTTCAGAGATGGAGGCAGAGCCGACAGCCGCTCAGCTCCTATAAACCGGACAGGAGGACAGTAGCTGGGGGACACGGTGACCATGACTGATTCTACTGAGTGAACATTTCCACTAGAAAACACCGGGAGCGCCTCTGGGATCCAATGAAAGCAGCCCTGTGTTGAGGTGAGTCCTGCTGCTGCTGCTGCTGCTGCGTTTCGACCTCTTTTGTAGCCAATCTTCCTGACGCGTTTTCTCCTCAGGAGAAAAACGCACTGTAGTTCATGGATGATAATGATAATAATAATGATTAATATTAGAATAATTGCAGAATGGGGAAATGATCTGTTTGTTTGTTGCGGTTTGGAGCCGCTCCATCATAGTCAGCGTCCGCACAAACCTGCGCCAAGATTCGGGTCCGGATGGCACAGAGACAAGTGCGATAGGCTGGATCAGAGGGCGAGGGGAGGAAAAGAGTGCGCATCGGGATTAGCATGGCAGAATAAATAAAATAAAAAAATTATAAATGTAGGGTGGGGGGATCATTGTGAATAAAAAGAGGGGCTTCTCCTTTAATCCACTTAAGATGCTTAATTAAGGGGCCACAGTGTGGTCAATCGAGGGCCTGCTGGGGTGTTATGTGACGTAAAGGCCCGCTCAGGATGATCCAGAATCATTGTTCAGGCTCAGCCCATTCATCCGGACCTGGATCTGTCAGCCATTCAGCAGGAGGCTGCTGCTGACTCCCATTCATGAAGCCCAGTGCGCAGGCTGCACAACGATCCTCTGTCCGCTTTAAATAGGCCTGCAGCGGCCCTGTTTCAGGCCTGCTATTGACTTTCTCTCATGTGTCTGCAGACAGACAGTTCATATGAAGCCTAATCAGTCTGATTCTCAATATGAGTGAGGTCTGATCATTGAGAGGCGCTTAAATAGCCTGATAAGCTTATGCATCACTGGTACACTGACCACGCATGAGGATTGTTGCTCTCTAAAATACTCTGTATGGGTAAAATGTATTTGTATATCATGCATCATCCATGTTGTTAAAAGTAAAACTTCTCAGGCTTTACTTGAGGGTTTGTGCAAGAACACCTTTCTTTAACTTTTAGGTAAATCACCATTAACATCTGGTATTCTGTGATCCTGTCAACCGCCCAAATCAAGTGTATAATCTTTTAGAGTAATATTTTAAGAAGTGTGATTAATCTAAACCAAATGCACCTTATAATGAGGAAGTATTATTGTAGATGATACCTGCAGACCCTTCCTACCCACAGTGAGAAGCACATTATTAAAAACACAGCTTGACCCTAATGTTTTCCAATTTTTATCCAAAGTTTGGAGTTTAAATTACAACTCAACCAAAGTCAATTCCTTTTTCTTTTTTTTTTTTTTTTACCTTGGATGTCTAACGGTGCTGCTTTTGCAAATTCAATGCAAAGTTTTAATTGAAATCCTGTTTTTATCTGATTGGTGTGCTCCTAGTGTATAAACACTATACTGCATCTGATTCTGAATCAGTATAGATGTTACCATTATTACAAGTCAACCACAAAAACTGACGCCCTGCTGCTGTGGGGTATAAAAACATCTTTGCCTCCCAAGAGCTTCCATGGTGAGGTATAAGTGAGTCTAGAGTCAGTTTTTATCAGTTTACTCTCATCTAACTTCTTATTTAAAACCCTTACAGCAACTTACCTCCCAGAAACTGTACCCACTCTAGCTAGGATTTCTCGGGAGTCTCGGTTGTACGGTTGGAATCAGGAATCTCATCGGAAACTGATTTTCATGGTTGTTTTTCATCAGTCATTTGCTCTAACTGGTGCAGCTCAGAGCAGCATCATTGTAATTACTCTCCATGTCTGTGTCGCGTCAATCACAGCAGAGACCATGCTCAGCAAACTCCTCAAATGATCCCCGGTCTGATGGGCACCACCTGCATAAGGTGCATTGTTTAAATATTAGATGAGGGCGGGATGAGGGTCTGGAATGGATTGGACAAAGGTTTTAAGGTTTTATACTTTCTATGGACTTTGGTGGCTTTTCACTTATTTTCAATTAACATCCATCAATCCATTTGAACTGTATTGTTAGCAGGGATGCAAGTTATCAACTAATGATGTAATCTAAAGTTGATAAAGGATTAATTGATTGGCTTCCATTTTCTTAACAACACATTTTTTCTTGTATCAACAGGGTTCTTCCCTTATATTTAGGGCAAAGGTTTTAGAATATGTCCAAATTTAAAAATATATTCATTATATAAAAAAAAACAGTTGTGCGAGCTGTATAAAATAATAAAGGGGGAAAAAAAAACATCTTTTGGTTTTCTCACATATTATTAGAACTATATATATTAACATATAGGGGCGTCATCATAATAGTATAGTATGAGAACAACTTTTATTTATTATGAACCAATATAAACTTTTAATAGAAGGAGCGTGTTTCTATCAGCATGCTTATATTGGATATTTTAGATGCAGGCCAATATGTGATATAATATGTGAAACACGTCCAATCCCCCATGAACAGAGAGAGGGTATGTTGCTCTGACATGCTGTCAGATTTTACATGCCACTTGGTGTCAATAAAACGAATGGTCACTGTGATACTGTTACCATAGTTACTGATTCTGTAGTTCTCTGTTTTCAGGGAAATCTAGCAAACACTGGTGAGTGTGACACTTTGTCCTGTTAGCCCAAGCCCAAAGGGCTGCTAATAAAACTTGGCTCTAAAGGTGCATTAGTTCACATAACACTCCACAATAAACTGTGTTCATTGGTATCACGTCTTTATGGTCATTTTACAAATATTTTCTGTAATACCCTCCACTATTCTGTCCTCACATCCTCACTTCCATAGCATATTAGTGACTTTTGGATGAGAAGGTGTCACTGCTCGGCCTTACAGAGTGGGTTATTTAGGTGGTAACCTTGAGGACTCATTGAGTGTTTATATTTACAAACAGAACAGCATAAAATCCAATCTACATCTTTGTTGCTATTGAACAGTGTCAGATAATCTTGCATAGGAGTCTGTTAGAATTGAGTCACGTTTCTCTTCTTGCATGCCTCCAGCATGATTGTTTCTCTTGCAACTATCGTTGCAGCTCCGCTTAAAGAAGAACAGCAGCCTCTCCAGGATAGCAGCCACACTACAACCCTGGGCTAATCTTTTATCTTTCAGATGGAACAAATTTTGGGGAGAGTATGTATTTGCATCCTTACTTGTTACTGAACTGTAGCATTCAGTGACTTACACAATGTACACATGAATATTATACCGATTTTAAAGTCGTGACTAACAGCGTCAGCGGAAACTGGTTCACATAGCTACAAATGTTTTGCAAAAATATATTTAAAATAAAATATGCTCTACAAAGAATCTTGCCTTAACTTGATTCCACAGTGGCTCTGAAATGGTCCATAGCCCCTTAATATGTGTTAGGATTTAAGCCTGCGCTGCAAAGATCAGTTAGAACAGCTGTAAAGGCAGCAATAGACATTTTAATGCCAGTGGTGGTTACTGTATAGCATTAGATCTGGTTTACTTAATCTTCTGTTGAAAATAGTAGACGCACTCTATACGGGGCAGTGCTTTTATTTTCACTCTGTGCAAACAACTACTGGCTGCAATTGGCTGTAAATTGGCTGTAAACACTCATGTGTTTGCAATAACTTGCAGTCAGTCTTTTCCAGCGCTGTGGAGAAATTCTGACTCAATCATCTTTGCATAATTCAGCAACAGGAGATGGACAGAGGTGGACTTGCTGGATCACTGTCCCATTGCTAAACTCAAGTTTGAGGTCACCCACAGATGGCTGGATGATCTCCTTCAGGACTTTTTAGTGTTAGTGTTCCATTAAACACAGCAAGTCCTCGAGGTCCTGAAGCACCAAAACATCCCCAGACCATCAAACTACCACCACCGTATTTACTGTTGATATAATGTACTTTTCCTTTACTCCATATATTATGGGACACACACCTTCCCAAAAGTCCAGGTTGTATCTTGTCGGTCCTCTGACTATTTACTAGGGATGCACGATATAATCGGCCCCCTATCGGTATCGGCCTGTATTGGCCTTAAAACTGAATATCGGACATCGGCCACCCCACCGATATTTAAGCCGATATTTGATCAGCTTCTGAGTTTCTAAAGTCTAAAAAAAATAAAATAAAAATACTACTACTTCTTCCTCAAAAACTTCTTTTTTACAGACTTAAAAACTTCTAAAGACGAGGGAAAAAATATTGATACATTAAAATATCACAATATCTTCATATGCTGATATATTGCCATTTAAAAACACCATATCAATCTCTTTTACTAATGAAATATTGCTATATGTCATCATTATGCAACGAAATCCCCCGAAAATCCACAAAATGTTGCCATATTTTTATACTTTGATATATTGACACAGTATCGATCTATTTTACTAACAAAATCTCACAAGAATTTGGAAAATATCACGAGAGTTTTTAACAGAACGATGAAATTTCTCAAGATTTTGAAAGTAAAATAGATCAATACTGCGTTTTTAAAAATCTATTTGATATCAGCATATGAAAATATATTTGAGTATATTATTTTTCAAAGTGTCAGAAATGGATAACAAAACTGCTATTTTCAATGACTACTTATTTTTGTCCAGCTTTAACATCGGTATCGGTTATCGGCTAAATGAGTTTTAAAATATCGGCATATCGGATATCGGCCAAAATCCCAATATCGTGCATCCCTACTATTTACTGAATATTTACTTTTCGCCCAGCAGTGGTTTTCTTCTTGCCATGCTACCATTTTGTTCCCAGCATCGATCTTAAGGTGAACGTGAGCACTGATCTTAACTGAGGCAGTGAGGAGGACTGCAGTTCTTTGGATGATCTGTATGTTTTTTTCCCTCTTGGGTGAGTCGTCGCTGCTCTCTTTGGGTAATTTTTGTCAGTGGACCACTCTTGGGAATGTTATCTGCTTTTGATATTTTTTTCTGCATTTGTGGATATTGAGTCCCACCGTGGTAGGAGTTCCAAAGCTTTAGAAACTTTATAAACATTTCCAGACTGTCAGGTCGATCACAATTTTTCATTTTTCTCCTGAATGTCTTTAGATCTATGTATGATTTTTTGCTTTTGAGAATCTTTTGTTTTACTTCACTTTGGCCCCATTGATGGAAT